TGAGACCTCTGGTGTACAAAGTGGCCTGTTAAATTTGATGATCCATTGGCTGCCCGTTACAGCTGAAGACTTTCCGCGTTGATTTGAAATATGATAGCACTAGATTATTCGAGAAAGATGTAATGGGATAGTGATTAGGTGATATTGCACAAACATGCATAGATTTTGCATATTGAAAAGTTTTTTTTGCAATCTTGGTTTTTCTTTTCTTCTCCTTAGCTATCTAATCAAGGCCAAAATGAATAGAAAACTAGAGATTTATATGACCTTGGATCTCATCAAATTATAGAATGTCTTCTCCACCTGTAATAACCTAAAGCTGCATATGCCATGTTGCTACCATTATCAGTAGCTGTAGTCTTTTCTGCTTCCATTTTCTAATCCAGGTTGCGCTTGCAATCAAACCAAAACATTTTGAACTGTTCTAGCCTTTTAGGGGATTTCCTGCTTTTGCATGATGGCAACCTTTCATTTCGGTGCCGGTTCAATTCATTGAATATCCTTAAATGCTAATGACAATTACCCACCATAACTTTGGCTTAAAATAAATGCAGACCTCATGGTGCTGCCACACCATTCTTTTGTCACCTTCCACTTGCACAATGTGCTCCATCTTTACTCACCTTGTGGCTTGAATATATTATCACGATATCACACTCCACTTAGCCTTAGTGTATACAGTATGTGATTTTCTTATCCATGATTCTTATTTACAGCGAGAAAATAGAATGAGAGCTCTGCTGAAATTGGAACCGCATTACTTTTTGACTTTGGGATTGTTACCCTCCGTCATCTTCATGAGCGTCTAGAAATGTCTATGAGGTAAATGTATATATTGAATAGCAATTTTATAAGTATATATTGAAGTTGTTAACAAGAAAGACTGTCATAGCAAGTCAGCAATGGAAAGCTCTCTCTTTCGCCTACTTCTTGTTCTATTGGGGTTATCTCACATTATATGTTTGAACGCTGTCCCAGTTACAAGTAAATATTCTGTAAATTATAACCTCTATCTCTAACCTTTCTTATTCTTCTGCATGCCATATCATGTTCATTTTTGCTTGCAGGAATCGGAAGCCTAATGCATGGACCCCAAGTTCATCAAGTTCCAGACAATACTCACCTGGTACTTTATTAACAAAGCAGTTGAAGTACATCTTTCTTCTTCTGCTGGAAGCATATATGAAACTCACGATTCAACTTAGTGACATATCTTTCTTTTTCATAGGAAGTTGCAGACAAAAGTTCAGAGGCACAAATCATTGAGGGGTGGATGGATGTGCAGCTGAATGATTATCCAGGGTCAGGAGCTAATAACCGCCACACTCCAAGGCCTCAATTCGGCAGATGTTCTGATTGTTAGTTTCTCAAAATAGTAGGTGTATGTTCTTCAAGGTACAATATAATGTTAAGATAGCTGTAAACATGATTTTGATCTATAATCTCTCAATTTGTTTTTCTTGTCACCTTTCTATGAGTGGAGTTCATAAATTAAGTGAGAGTTGTGAAGTTAACTGCATGTCACCACTCAGTTTGGCTGCACAAGATAATGATTGTTTAATTTTGGTGTGCTGCAAAATCTGCCCCTTCGCTGCGCAGTCCATCCTCCTGGTGCACCTTTATTGTATGTTCCTGCTTAAGAAGTGGAATCTGTTGTGGTTTCAATAAAAGAAATCAAAGACAGTGGCTTCGATTGTTTAATGGGGGCCTTTCCATTTTGGAATTGTTAAATTTCCAAAAGAAGGGGAAGCCTTTTCCTCTGTGTTACTTGGAATAATACAACTAAAAGTTCTGGCAGCTTGGATTGGAATTCAGCAGTCCATATCCTTAGTGTCGGATTTCCTATTTTTGATGTATGTTTTATGTTTTCGATTGTCTCTTAAAATGTCATGTAGTGAAAGTGAAACTGCATTGCCTCCATATAGTGAGAGATTAAAACTTGCCTCAAAGTCAGTATTTCTTAGTTTTCTTATTTTTTAGTACATAGAAGGTCGCAGTCTGGGGATAGAGGAAATGATTGCAAGTACTAAGATTTGAACTTCGAACCAATAGATGTCATCAAACATAGGAGACCACGACCTGGGATAGAGAAAGGGCCTACATGTGTTAAGATTTGAACCTCACACTTCTTGAATGCCACCTCTTAGCAGTATCTCTTAGTTTTCATGCTTCAATAAGCAAGTATTGTTCTTACAGCTAACTGATCAAATTTCAATATCAATAAGAAAATTTGCAATACAGGAGAGATTTATCTAGTTGGATGATGAAATTAAGGATAACTCTCCATCCTTTTTCTTGCAGAATTTGCTCAAAAGTGAATAGGTTACATGATAAACAATTTAATTGGAGCAATGGCGCTGGGCAACCCAAATTTCTGCCAACTTTGCCATAAAAATGCTTGACCTTGCAATGTGCTTTACACTTATTTGGGGAGAAAAGAGCACAATCCGGGTGAAAATGTATATTTTTTGCAGACCAAGCTCTGAGAAAGTTCATTAGAACCAATAAGCACTCTTTAAAGAATCTGCAGGTGAACCACTCACAAAGCCTTTGAAAATATCTGAAGGCAGTTTCTACATGTGCTTTGTGTTTTTTAGTGGAGAAAATGGAGTGTGATGTGTTAAGCATTCAATTTCTTAATTACCACTACATTTTCCATTCTGCTTGGTCCTTTTTGTGTGTCTCCTGTAGATGGCAAATATCAAAGTATTTTGAGGCATTTTGTGGGAACAAATGTACTGCTTGAAATGGATGGGAACATATATTAGATAAACTCATAAAGATTATCTCAGAAAATTATACAAATGTATCTATGACTACAAAGAAAAGTAGTAATTTGGATCTGTTGGCATAAACTAACCAGATCGAATGCAGAAGCCACCAAAAGATCAACTTCATGCTGATCAAAATATAGGTGGTAGCAGAAACTGGGAAGAAAATTTGGGAAACATTAAGAAAATTACGTGGATACCTCTAATTGTTCAGGCTCAAAACTTGATCCTGCAGAATCATGAGTACCAAGTCTGGATCAGGCTTAAAACAGAGGCCTTAATTTCTGATTAGAGGGAGAAAAGATAAAGAGTTGAAAGAAAGAGAGATGGTAATAGTGTTGAGAATATTGACTCAAATCCCATAAGAGATTTTTTGAGATTTGTTAGAGATTTGTTTGGGATTTGTCAGATATTGCTTGATGGACAAGAAGACTTGCAAAAGAAGAATTCCAAGAGAAAGAGGATTCTTAATAGGTAAGTTTGACTTGCAAGAGAAGAATTCTAAAAGAAAAGAGATTCTTAATGGGCAAGTTTGTATGGTTATAAATAGGTGAAGTCTTTACAGGATTAGGTATGAGAAAAAGATGTAAGAGAGTTGTAGGGTTTTGTGAGATAGACACCCCATAAGAGTATTGGGGCTCTACGTCTTATGGGTGTGTATGTTTGTTTGTGAGTGGACTAGAGGAGACTGAGAGGGTCCACATAGGTATGATGTATGAGAGCATATGGGTATGTGTTTGGTTATGTTGAAAGGGTACACAAGGGTTTGGGTTTGTGTTTGTTTGGGTTGAGAATACTCCATAAGACTAGAGGAGATTGAGAGTGTCTTATGAGTATTGATTGTTGAGTGAGGTTGATGATTTGATGTATGTTTGTAATTCTCTACAACTAGTGGATCTTGTTTTTCATCCGTGGATGTAGGTTAATTGGACCGAACCACATTAAATTATTGTCTCTTGTGTGTTTGATTTATTATTTGATTTCGCTTCCGCTGGTGTGATTGGATTGGAGGCTTTTAGCCCAACAAATGGTATCAGAGCTGTGGTGTTCCCCAACAAGTGGTATCAAAGCTGAAAGTTCGAGATGTGAAAAAGATGTGGAAGAGCTAAAGGTTTCAGATGTGGGAAGTGCATGGTTTGAGATATGGGAAGAAGTAAGCTTAGAGGAACTCGATTCAAGAGAAGAGTTCGAGTTCAAGTTTTGAGGATTGGTTTGTATGAAGCGTGAAGACACAAGAGAAGAGAAGATATTGTAAGACTTCCATTGCAGGTGGAGCCAAGCATGTCTAGCATTGAGACAGATGATTGATGGAATTTGAGTCAAGGTGGAGATTGTTGAGAATATTGACTCAAATCTCATAAGAGATTTGTTTGAGATTTGTTAGAGATTTGTTTGGTATTTGTCAGATATTGCTTGATGGACAAGAAGACTTGCAAAAGAAGAATTCCAAGAGAAAGATGATTCTTAATAGGTAAGTTTGACTTGCAAGAGAAGAATTCTAAAAGAAAAGAGATTCTTAATGGGCAAGTTTGTATGGTTATAAATAGGTGAAGTCTTTACAGGATTAGGTATGAGAAAAAGATGTAAGAGAGTTGTAGGGTTTTGTGAGATAGACACCCCATAAGAGTATTGGGGCTCTACGTCTTATGGGTGTGTATGTTTGTTTGTGAGTGGACTAGAGGAGACTGAGAGGGTCCACATAGGTATGATGTATGAGAGCATATGGGTATGTGTTTGGTTATGTTGAAAGGGTACACAAGGGTTTGGGTTTGTGTTTGTTTGGGTTGAGAATACTCCATAAGACTAGAGGAGATTGAGAGTGTCTTATGAGTATTGATTGTTGAGTGAGGTTGATGATTTGATGTATGTTTGTAATTCTCTACAACTAGTGGATCTTGTTTTTCATCCGTGGATGTAGGTTAATTGGACCGAACCACATTAAATTATTGTCTCTTGTGTGTTTGATTTATTATTTGATTTCGCTTCCGCTGGTGTGATTGGATTGGAGGCTTTTAGCCCAACAAATAGGAAGTCTTTAGGGAATTGCTCAATACCAGTTACAATTTAAAAGGGATTATTTATACTAAACAGAAAATTCTGGCCAAAAAAATACTAACAGATGAAAATTGTCAAACAATTAAAATACTTAATACATTATACCAACTCATTAAAAATGTTAAAGCAAGCTGCTTCTTTTTCAAACAGTTAAAAGTGAGGACATGATATATGTTATTCATGTGGGGATGGAGCAATGGCAGATTCTGGAGCAGGAGCAGGAACATATGCATTAACACCTAGGAATCCAAATTTTTTTATAAGCTCATTAGCAATGAGCTCATTGGCACTATCTGATGGGTGGTACTCATCCCAAAAGACATATTTGCTTCTATCTCTACACAATGTTGATGCTGGTAAGCATGTGAGAGCAGGTCGAATCTTTCCCAATGAGCAACATGGCGAGTTGGAGTTATTAAATCCTGCAAAGATCAAAGTCGGAATCAATCATCATATGCAGATTAAATCCTGGAAAAAGATGAAGGCTTCATTCTTTTTCTTTTTTTAGTCATAACTTTTTCTTTGCCATGAAGGCAAAATTGCTATTTTTTGGACATGGACTCACCATATTTGTATGGATTGCGAATCACATCATCTACAACGTCATAAGCATCTCCAAACTTGAGGGTAGCATTGGGAAGTTTACTTTCCAAATTGACTAATAACTTGCTTGCAGCTTTATTGAAGCTAAGAGCCAGCTTGTTTGCTCTTTCCTGGCACTGACCAGATGTGCTTAGGACCCTTTGCAGTGGTATGCAGCCCATTGGTCCTAGACCGAACACCATTAACTTCCGTGCGCCTAGGTTGTGTAATGCCTTTATAAAACACATACAGAGAGTTAATTAGCATTGCAGTTGTAGATGAATGTAAGAAAGCAATCCGTGCGATTATAACCAGTTTACCAGGAGTTGTTCCTGAAGTGTCTCCATTAAGTATTCAACAAAAGTTTGATCATTGTACTTCCATGAGTCACTGTAAACTGGCATCAAGTAATTGTTAATGAAGTCATTGCTCCCCAAAGCAACCACAAAGAGACCGTCTTGAAAGAACTTCTCCGCAGCTTGCTTGCCAAGTTTGTTCTTAATCAATTCAGTTGTCCCCTGGAATAGCTCAATTTGCCTCCAAAGAGACAGCCTCTGAATCTGCAACAGGTTATAGATATTGTTTCAAGAGCAGGTGAGACATCCAATTTTTTTGTTCTAGGAACAAAATGCAGGAAACTTAAGATTATGCAACTTACAAAGTAACCTCCTGTTTCATTCAAAATCCCACCTCCTCCAGAGGCATAATTTACCCCATTTTCCAATATCACGTCCTCAGTCAAAGATGGATCCATGAAAGCTGGTGGCCTTGGGAGACTAGTGTTGTCACCTGATGTAGATGAAGAACAGAAGTAACATGACAGTGGTCAGAATTCTCAAAGACAAACCAGTACTACCATTTATGAGCTTAAACTTTGAAATTTAACTGCTTCTAGTTAATGAATTACCTATTATATCAGCAACAGTTCGGCCATTGGTGAACCTTCCATTGGGCAGACCACTGCCAAAATCAATACCATAATAAGGCAAGCTGGCCTTAGCCAGGCTCTTAGAAAGGTACATGTTATTACCAACGTCAGACAAGGAATCCCCGAAAATAAACTGCACAGCCTTTCCATGGCAACCTTGAATGGCAATTCCCACAAGGCTCACAAGAAGTAAAGTCAGTGCCTCATTGAACTTCATGTTTGACAGGCAGGGGACGCAGTGCATTCCAGGACCTTTAAAAAGTTATATGTTTGGAAAATTGATACTATAAAGTTTGGGTTTTAAACTTACGTGAATTTCCCTTTTAAAAGGAACATGTCTACAAATATGAGAGCCTGGGAAAGGTGGAAGCAGCAAGAAAAGTTAGAGGGAACGGTTACATGGTCAGATGAACCAACTTTGTTGGCAGGTTTCGGACCTAACTATAACTACTCTTTTTCTTGTTGCAACTGTGTATCAAACATACGTTTTGATTAAGAATATTTTGACCAAGAACAGAAATCGTTCGAGACGGTGGCTTGGTGCAACATTTGACTTGCTAAAGACGAACGTGTACGACACGTGAGCTTTCTTTTGCTACTAAAGGAGAAAATTGAAGGGAGGAAATGGTCTAACTCAATACTACGGGTGTCATTTCGGGCCTTTCGAAATCCGCTTAAATTTCAAAATTTTTTCAAATAAAAATAAAAATAATCTATAATAAATATTAAATTTGACAAAATAAACAACCAATAAAATACATTTAAAAAAGATTATTTTAATAATTTAATTTGATGTTTGCATAAAATTGAGTACACATAAATATAAAATATTAATATGTATTTTATGTAATATAATTATATATATAATATATAAAATTATCGAATTGAGCATGAGTTTTAAATGTTATATTTAAATATTATATTTAAGATTCGAGCTATTTAAAAAAGGAATCTTGAATTTAAGTTTAGATCGATTTAATAAGTTTAATATTATTATTTAAATCTTTTAAAGTTTTAAACAAACTTTTAAATTTAGAGAGAGAGCTTATCTTTCTATACATATATATATATATATATATAATACAATATAATATAATATAAGAGGAAGATCTTTCTAAGATAACTTGAAGGTGAGTAGGCGGATTTCTTTTTCTTTTTAGTAGGTTTAAGGTGAGTTTACCTAGCATGTTCAATTTCATGAATGGGAGAATTGGAGCAATCTCTTTCAAATGTCACGCAACAATCTTGTCCAAAAAAAAAAATGTTGGGCAACAACATTGTTAAAACTTTGGTGAAACTATGGTTGAATCAACTTGTTTGAGCAGCAGAAAATAAAATAAAAAAAAAGAGCCCCAAAACTCATAAGATATGTTTGATGTTTACTGTAAAACCAATCCATTTCAATTGATCCTTTTAATTAGTTTATGTTTGACATTCCTAAAACTTGGTTTTCCTTTAAAATTTAACTTTTGCTGTCTTAGGGTTGGTTTGGAAGCAACTGAAACCACGATGAAGTGCAGTTGACAACCCAAAAAAATTAGCTTTTTAATTCAAATGAAATCATGTGAAGCATGATGAGCGAGACTTTAAAATAAATAATTACATAAATAATAAAATAAATATTATTAATTTTTAATTTAATATGAGTAAAAATAAATTCAATCGACCGATCATTAAGCACATTGTTATAAAAATTATAGTATTCAAACTTTAAAATAAAAATTATTAAACTAAACTTTAATTTAATATTTTTAATAATTATTTTCTCTTCTCACTATAATTTACTCCACCGTCGTTGCTACTTTACATTTAAATGCATATCTCACCACTTATTTTAATTTTATTATTACAATAATAAATCTCATTATTACAATAATTAATCTCATCTTCATAATTATTTTTAATCTCATCAGAACTAATCTTATTACCTATTCAAATAGACTTTTAAAAGCAAAAAAAGAAAGATAAGTAAAGTTATCATAGTAAACCTAAAAATTCTTATATTTGTTTAGTATTTGTTTCATGTTAAATATATTTAAAATATAAAAATTATTATATCACAATTTATATCAATATGTTAAAAAAAATTTTTGGCCAATTTTATATATGATTTTGTCACTTGTAAACCATATCATTTCATATTATTTTTCATATTATTTTTAACATTATAACATTAAGTCATGTCAAAAATTATCATATCTACTTATCATTCTGAAATTTATTATATATTAGCAAGCAAAAATATATAATAATGAACAAATTATTGGACATGGAAAAGATCAATTTAAGCTAGTGTAAAATTTTTTAATTTTCTATTGTTTTTAATAATTGATTTTAATAAATTCAAAAAATGAGATAGACAAGTCAACAAGAGAAAAAAATGGTTTAATCTCATCCATTTAGATCACATTTAGTATACAAAATTATAATAAAATAGGATAAGATAATATTATGATTAAGATTAAATTAAATAACGCCATCCTATTTTATATTTAAAATGTACTTTGTACAAGATTATGATAGAATAATTTATTTATTAATAAAAATAATCTTTCCTCAAACTTTATCCAATTTAAATTATTTATGTAATTTTTAAAAATATAATAAAATATATAAATTTAATTTTATAAATTAAAAACAATTCTCTCCACTCTGAAAGAATTGAATCATTCTATTCCAAAAGAATAATTAATCATTATTGTAATCATATTCTTTTTTTTAGATACAACTTAAATATAATATAATATAACTATCATCTTATTTTATTCATTATTCTATACACCAAATATGATATTAATACATTAAAATCAATAATTAAAAATATAAAACTTAAAATTATAAATCATCCTTTTCCATTGTGCATTAGGACTTTTAATTAGTGTTTATAAACTTCCATTATAATTCTATACAGTATTTTGGTGATCCCAAACCATTATAATGGTATGCCATTACTAGAGAAAAGGGGTTACCGATTAAAGTCATAATTTTAAGCCACATTGAGTGGAGCAGCAGAGCCAAGATTCTTTTGTTGCTTAAAAAGTAGGAAAGTTTTCATTATTTTATTTAATGATGAATATTATACTTCTATCTAGATTTATATTAATATGATTGATTTTAAATTGAGTTTTTAAATAAATAAAGTTAATTAAAAATAAAAAAATATTTAAGCAAATATAAAATATAAATTTATATAAAAATACATTATTTATCATTAAATAAAACAATTGAAATTATTTTGAAATAATAAAAAAAAAGTGAAAAGAATCTTTTCCGAAACAGTAATCTTTAATTCAAAGGGCGGCAGCCCCTGATTTCAATGCCAACTGCCCAATTTATGATCGGCTTTAAGGAGTCGGTTAAGGATTTATTGATTCATAGCATCCAGCCCATCCTACAAACCAAGAAGCCCCACCAGCTCAAGTCTGAAGTGTTTTATTTCTCAATTTTCCAGGTCGGACCTATATCGATCTTTTTTTTTTATGAGAACATATTAACGGAGATATTTGTTACAAGTTTATATATTTAATTTAAAAATATATGTCAGATAAAAATATTTATGATTTAGAAGTCTAAAATTATCTTTTGTTTTTCCATGTGAGATTCATAATATAGGTCTTGAGTTTGCAATTTAACATTTTTTTTGAAATTTTTATTCATTTTAATCTTTAATTTTTATCTATTTAATTTATTTAAAAATATTGTGCATTTAAATTTTTTTAATTCATAATTTTTAAAACTTATATGTATTATTTGAATTAATATTTTTTAATTTTATTATTCAAAATATTTAATAAATAAATTCATATAAAAAATCAAAATTTATCACTCACATGACGTTGTATGAATGTCAAGTTATTTAAACTGAAGCTGACTTAAAAAGTATATGACGTGGCAAAAAACTAGCCATAATCCTCCCACATTTAAGAAAAAATCAAAATCTATCTCTACAGTATCCAGAATCCAATCCGCACCGTTCATTTTCTAAATCCAACGGCCACTTACCACTCATATCCCTTACCATATCTAACCTTTTATTGCAAAAGCACTGCAATGTAGCTCTCTCGTTGCTGATACTGTCAAGCCTCTCTTTCACGTACTGTCTCTGAAATGAGCTCCATTGCTTTCAAACCCTTCACCGGCCTCCGCCGTAGTTCCGCCGTGCCCACCACTACCAACACTACCCCCTCCAAACCTGTAATCAAATTCCATGTGTCAGCCGCCAAAACCTCTCCAAAATTAAGCAACCGTGACCTAAGGGTAGCTGTCATAGGCGGCGGTCCGGCCGGGGGCGCAGCCGCTGAAACGCTCGCAAAGGGTGGCATCGAAACGTTCCTTATCGAGCGCAAACTGGACAACTGCAAACCTTGCGGTGGAGCCATCCCACTTTGCATGGTGGGTGAGTTTGACCTGCCATTGGACATCATCGACCGGCGAGTCACCAAAATGAAGATGATTTCGCCTTCCAACATAGCTGTTGACATCGGTCAAACGCTGAAGCCGCATGAGTATATTGGGATGGTGAGAAGGGAAGTGTTGGATGCTTACTTGAGAGACAGAGCAAAGGAGAATGGGGCTAATGTCATAAATGGGTTGTTCTTGAAGATGGATATGCCTAAGCATTGGGATGAGCCTTATGTTTTGCATTACACGGAGTATGATGGGAAGAAGGGTGCTATGGGGGAGAAAGTTACTTTGGAAGTCGATGCTGTGATTGGAGCTGATGGGGCTAATTCTCGAGTCGCTAAAGCGATTAATGCTGGCGATTATGATTATGCTATTGCATTTCAGGTATACATTTCTGAGACGTAGCTTCACTTTTCATTTCTTTTATATTTTTCCCTTTTTGAGTTATTGTTTTTGGAATCATTTTTATTTTTGCAGAAGATCCATGGATAAGAGTTAGACTTGATCAATCCTATATCATTTTCGTGTCTATTTCGTGACATGTAAAATATAAAAATACGAAAACTGTCGTGTCAAATATTTTTTGTATTTTTTTTAAACTCATATATAATTTTTGTTAAAATTTTAAATTGCTTTTTGTTTTTTTGGTATTGTTTTCGTATCTCTCACCGTTGATATTTAAAATTGCAGATCAACCATGGATGAACGAGTAGAAAGTAGGATCATAATCAAACATCCTTTAGCATATCGTAGTAATTAGGAAATTGGAAAGTAATTGAACTGACTAACCCGCATATAATTAAAGAAAATTCATGTAAGGTGGGGTTTGAACCTGAAGCCTAACAGTACCGAGGTCTTCTTACCAATCGAGTGTTTTGAGTATATTTTACTGAAAGTATTATTATTTGATTTTTTTTTATTTTGAGAAGGCTCTGACAGATATTAAATGATTTATGTGCATGGTCAAGAAGTGAAAGAATTGTTATTAAAGGGTTTTTTACTTGAAATATAGTATTACATATATAATTGAGCACAAAATTTTTCATTGGTGGGGTTCCTTTCCTACATAGTGTTTATTTTACACTAAATTTAACGAAGTTAGACACTAATCTATGGAGTTAAACAAATCGTTAATTGAAGAACATGTGTTGAAAATACAGATTCGGGTTCTTCGCTCGTTTTTTATGATGGATAATTAAGAACTCAGATGCATTTGATTTGCTTATTAAGCAAAGTTCTATCTGATTTTGAGAAAGCATGTTTTTGACTTCATAATTGTGATTCTGTTATTCTTTCTATTACTAGTATTAAATATTTGTATAGTTAAGTTGGAGGATTAGGAATGTCTGGTCATTGTGCATGGCCATTTCTATTTTATCATGTATCTGAATCTTTAATTACTTGGTCATTGAATGATTCATGAAATCTCATTGTGATTGCAGGAGAGAATCAAAATCCCTGATGACAAAATGGTGTACTATGAGAATCTTGCTGAAATGTATGTAGGCGACGATGTCTCACCAGATTTCTATGGTTGGGTCTTCCCCAAATGTGATCATGTTGCGGTTGGAACTGGCACAGTGACTCACAAGAGTGACATCAAGAAGTTCCAGCTAGCCACTAGAAACAGAGCAAAGGACAAGATCCTTGGCGGTAAGATTATCCGAGTGGAAGCACACCCAATTCCTGAGCACCCTCGTCCACGTAGGTTATCAGGGAGAGTAGCCTTAGTTGGGGATGCAGCTGGATATGTGACAAAATGTTCAGGCGAAGGTATCTACTTTGCAGCTAAGAGTGGGAGAATGTGTGCTGAGGCCATTGTCGAGGGGTCACAGAATGGGAAGAAGATGGTGGACGAAGGGGACTTGAGGAAGTACTTGGAGAAGTGGGACAAGACATACTGGCCTACTTACAAGGTTCTGGATGTCTTGCAGAAGGTCTTCTACAGATCCAATCCTGCAAGGGAAGCTTTTGTAGAGATGTGCGCAGATGAGTATGTGCAGAAAATGACATTCAACAGTTACTTGTACAAGACAGTGGCACCCGGGAATCCATTGGAGGATCTAAAGTTGGCTGTGAATACGATCGGGAGCTTGGTGAGAGCCAATGCACTTAGGAAGGAAATGGAAAAGCTAAACATATGAGATATTCTCACTGGTTTCGGGTAACTGGTCTTTGTTAGAGTGATGCTCCTTTCCTTCTTACCACTTTGCTTGTGAGAGATCATCTTTGTATTTAGAAGAACAAAGTTGCATTTCTATTTAATTCCATAGATCATAATGATGTTCAAGTGATGATGTTACTGCATTATTGTAAGTTTCTTTTAGAAAGTGACGTGAAAGTTGAAAATGGTTCAATAACATTAAATAGAGTAAAGAACAACCACATCTATTAGATCGTAAATGGGGTCAGGCGTGGATGGACATCACCTTGCCATGTGCCACAAAAGTAGTTGAGGAATCTTTCTTTGTTTCAAGTCTCTTTGTAACTTGTGATAACAATAGTGCCCAATCATCTATGGTTTTTCCATAGTTTTGAAGAGGGACTTTGGTTAAGTCTAAATAAGTACCTCATTGAGAAACCGTTCGTTTGTTTAATGAGTCGATTACAGGGGTTTCAATCTGAACTTGACTTGTTTGGCCAGAATCAGAAGTTTGTTTAATCTCATCCTCATCCTTGTTTAGGTGAGAATATTTTTTCTTTAAATGAGGAAGATGTTGATCCATTATATCAGGATCTAATAATTTTGGAAATCGCCTTAAATCATCAATATCTGGATTAGATATTGCTTCGGCTTTTCTCTTCCCACGTGTCTCTATTTGAGGGGTTGGAATTTCACGTTGTTCTGGATTTGGTTGATCATCAGAACTATCTTCTTCATCTGATGTGGTTTCATCTGATGAAGGTGGTTCATCCTTGACTACTGAGTTAGTAGTAAGAATTTCAAAATTATCTTCTATTATATCATCATTTGCTTGCTTCATTACTACTGGCACTGGTTGTGTCATAGTTAAGCATATAATGATATTTATATTTAATAAAGAGGTCTTTATGTTCTTCATAAAGAGTTTCTATAGCCTGAAGATAATCAATTCATTGTTGCGGATCTTCAATTTTTTCCATTTTTTCTTTAAAATTTTCAATAATATATTTATAAGAATCAAAATCAAGTTGTTCTTGTTTCTCCTTTGCCAAGGAAGATGAGGCTTTGTCATCGTTCATCATAATATTACCATAGTAAAGTGGTCCAAAGTTTGTTGATGTATCTGGGGGAACATGCTTTTGATCCATCTTTTCTACAAGCATATCTACTTTATCTTCAATATTATCAATTTTTACAAAAAGTTTATGAAAAAAAAAAGAAATTAAATCGATTAAACCATTTACAGTTCTACTGATGCTGATATTACTAGATTCATACTTAAGATCTATATGCAAGTCATGATTATAAGACTTATCTTGACAAATACAAGAATTTTCTTCATAAGTTTTCATGTTTATGGTGTTTAAAATCGATGTGCTGTTTTGAAACGCTAGTAACAAAAGGCAACTTAGGCCACAAAAGTCAGCTATAACTCAGATATGCACGTATGAGCTTTGAAACAAAGAGCTTAAGAAGATGATGCAAGTAAGAGTAAAAAAAATCTTACAAGATGAATAACAAGTAGATCTTTATTGTAGAACCTGCAATACAAGCTTTAGCAAACCTTTGTACAAGCCTAGAGCTCTGATACCATTTATAAGGGAGGTGCGAAAATGATCTATATATAAAGGATTACAAAAGCTATATATATTTGTATACAAATGGAGGACAGAAAAAATGATTGTAAAGAGAGAGTGTGTGTATGAGAGAGAGAAAGAAGAATTTTTCTCTTCAAACTTAGTTACAATGAGGCTTTAAATAAAAAAAATCTAACTCATGAATAGTAACTCTATACAGTTACCCGCTACAATGTACAGTAAATTTTTATCTACAATATCGCTACAGTGACTTGCTACAGTGTCTTTCGTAGTAGGTCTCTGTCTTTTTCTGCTATAGTGACGTTTTATCTTCTGTTACAGTATTTTCTGTCTACTAGTTGTTGGTGTCGAATGAAGTTTTGTCCTTTTGTGTCGGTTGTCTGTTCTAGCTTATCCTGGATTAAAATATGCACAGTTTATCTTTTCATAACATTGTTTAAGTTACGAAATTTTTCATCCAGTGCGTTAAGGGACTGGAGAGATTGAAGAGATCTAGAATGTGATTTGTTCCACATCTTCCATCCTTCTTGATACTGGTATAGTATGTCAGTAGGCGTGCATGGTATAGAGGTTAACTTAAACAATGCTATGGAAGGATAAAGTGTATATATTCTAATCTAGGATAAGCCAGAATAGACAGCCGACACAAAAAGACAAAACTCCATTCGACACCAACGACTAGCAGATAGAAAACACTGTAGCAGTGAACTGTAACAGTCAATTGTAGTAGAAGATAAGATGTCACTGTAGCAGAAAAAGATAGAGACCTACTACGAAAGACACTGTAGCAAGTCACTGTAATGATATTGTAGATAAAATTTTACTGTACATTGTAACGAGTAACTATGTAAAATTACTATTCATAGGTTAGATAACTAAGGGGTGAACCCAGCATTATTGTCCTTCCTAACAACTGTGTAGTTTATTAATGGAGTTACGTGATTTGTTGAAGGAGTTGAGTTGGTGTAGTTTGTTGATAGAGAGTCAATCGAGTCATTGACTGGTTTGTTGGTATAGGCTCAATTAGAATGAACGGTAATATTGATTATGATGAGATTGAAAACAGTAATAAAATTTATTATAGTTATGATTGAAAAAAAAATTACTGTAATTATAATTAAAAAATAATTTAATAAAAAATTTATGTTGATTTGATTTCATTGAAATTGACGTTTAAATTCAATTGAAAGTACGATAAATTTAATCGTACCACATTTTCGAATCCAAATGATTACATAATCATTTGTTAATAGAGTCATGCAATAAAGTGATTTGTTAATAAAATTGTAACAAAGTGATTTGTTAATAAAATTGCACTATAGGATTTGTTAATAAAACTGGTTCATGTAATTTATTAAAAAATATTAAATTTTTAAATTTAATTATTGTGATTTAAATTATGAATTTTGAATTCTAGTAGTAATCAAATTTAAAATTCTAACAATCTCATATGAACAAAAAATAAAAATAACTTAGCATCTTCGTTTTTAATTTTTGGTTAGTAATAAGCCTTTTCCTTTTAAACTTTTGTTTACGTTAGCTGTTCAATGAATATACTAATGTACCATTCAGATACTCAAGCTCCTAACCTTTGAAACCAAACAAGAGACGAACAAATTGCATTTTCCTATGCACTAAATAAAATCTGATTTTATTTTTTTTGAATTGAATTAAAATCTGATTTTTTCTGATGTATATAATAACCAAAATAATATTTGACAACTGACAAGAAAACAAAATAAGCTACCATATAAAATAGCAATTAAATGGATTTGGAAAAGGAATAAAGGCAAGTAAAAGCGCAAACGCAAGCTGTAATCTAAGCCGTGGAAAGCACCAATTCAACCATCAGCCAACGGTCACCATCTCTTCTTGCCAACAAAACGTGAAAAAACAAAACCAGAAACTATAATGCTTTGGGGTAGATTCTTTTCCGTGAGCGGCGGTGCATTCGGAACGCAGAAAGAAAAACGAAAAAAAAATTTTGGGAAACAGAAAACAGCGCTGTTAAAAGAGTAGGTGTGGTTGAAAATTTTTGGTGATTTGTTCAAGCTCATTGGCGGAGTTTCCTATAATCAAAAGCTGAAAAAGCGGCCATTTTTCTTATATATTACGCGCTTCATTTAAGCCAGCTCTCTCTCTGTTCAGATATCAAGGTTCGTTTTATTTTTGTTCTTCATTTGGAGTTATAATTCTTCAAATCTAAGCTTTGGCTTTTGTTTATTTATCCAAATTATGATTTGGGTTTTGATTATTTATCTAAATTATGATCTGGGTTTGGTTTCTTTGGTTTTTTGTGATTCTTTTTGTGTTAGTTTTTTCTGTTTAAGATATTCATTTTTCTTGTAATCTTTTCTTAGTAAAGGACTAAGATGCAATAGTGATTAGATCTGCTGCTTTCGATTTCTTTATTTGATTAATATTTCTTTCATTTTCAGCTTGGAACTTGGGATTCTTGTTTCTTTTCTTTGCTTTTTCTATGATTAGTTTGTTGTTATACTTTTGATAGAAATGTATGCCTTGAGGTTATCTCTTGAAAAGTATACTATGTTGTTGGGGAAAGTGTTTCTTGATTTTTCTTCTGTTGCCTGAGTAAATGTTCGTGAGCGAAGAGGAGCTTGTTTATTGATGCTGCCGAGCAAACAGTTAAAAATTAACCTGGGCGTTTATTTTCAATGATTTGTAAAAGGGGAAAGATGGTCCTCAATATTGAAATTCCTAGATTCAACATCCAAGATTTGTGGATTATGGATAAGGGATATTTGATTAATAGAAAGACTATGGTAACTCAAAACCAAGTTATTGGGAAATGGCATCCCAATTTATATGGCAACGAAACCTGATTTGTCTTTTTGAGTAGATTTGTCAACTGGACATGTGCTGCAAACGCAATGGGATCTCAGTGTTTTTCTATAAGGTTTCTAGGATCTGATTTTCTCAGATGACAGAGGGATTTTGCAAAGGACGAGAATGGCTCATTTTGCTTTGAAATGATAGTGAATATGAATTGACACCGTTGGTTTCATGGAAGGCCCCTGCTATTATTTCCAGCCTTTGATCTAAAGGCATAATGACTCTATTAATTCCTTTTTCTTTTTGTACTCTTTCAATGCTAATTCATGATTATTGAGATATAAATATATGCTTAATATTTTGTTTTTCATATTTTAGAATGCAAACATTCTTATATATGAACTTCATGTTTATTTCTTTTGCATCTATTTGTTTGTCTATGACATCTGCTTCTTTCTTACTTTTGCAAATGAGAACGTAAATTTTGGTTGTGAGTCATCCAGCTTCTTGATTATATTACTTGATATCTGGTTTTGTATCTGTAGGCTAGGTGTTGACACTTTTCCTTCCTTTATAGTGTGAGATGGCTACAACATCAGCAACTACCTTCTTGATTGGATCAACTGTCTCCTTTAGAAGCAGAGGGAGCCTACTTCCCCAAACAAAACCTTTTGCTGTAAGGTTCACCTCCCATAATTTACTTGCAAGTTTCTGTGGTCTCAAGGCAGCAACATCTGTGAACTGTGAATCCGTATCCTCCTTCCTAGGCAATGAAAGCAGTGCAGCTCTTAGAGGCTCTTTTGCACTAAAAGCACAGAAAGCAAACCAGAGGCCTCAGTATGGCCTACAGCCTCTGGCAACTTACAAAGTGGCAATACTTGGAGCTGATGGAGGGATAGGTCAGCCATTGGCACTTCTAATCAAGATGTCCCCGCTAGTTTCAGCCCTGAACCTCTATGATATAGAAAATGTCAAGGGAGTTGCTGCTGACCTCAGTCACTGCAATACTCCATCTCAAGTTCTGGATTTCACTGGTGCTTCTGAATTAGGAAATTGTTTGAAGGGTGTGAATGTAGTGGTTATTCCTGCAGGAGTTCCAAGAAAGCCTGGTATGACTCGTGATGACCTCTTCAACATCAATGCCAACATTGTGAAGACCTTGGTCGAGGCTGTAGCTGATAACTGTCCTGATGCCTTCATCCACATTATTAGCAATCCAGTTAACTCTACAGTACCAATTGCTGCTGAAGTTCTGAAGCAGAAGGGTGTTTATGATCCAAAGAAGCTTTTTGGTGTTACCACATTGGATGTTGTGAGAGCTAACACATTCGTTGCTCAGAAGAAAAACCTTAAGATTATTGATGTGGATGTTCCAGTTGTAGGCGGACATGCTGGTATCACCATTTTACCCTTGCTGTCAAAGACGAAACCCTCTGTTAGCTTTACTGATGAAGAAGTGGAGCAATTAACTGTGAGGATTCAAAATGCTGGGACAGAGGTTGTGGAGGCGAAGGCAGGTGCAGGGTCTGCCACCCTGTCCATGGCCTATGCAGCTGCAAGATTTGTTGAATCATCCCTTCGTGCTCTGGATGGAGACGGGGATGTCTATGAGTGCTCTTTTGTGCAGTCAGATCTGACTGATCTTCCATTCTTTGCATCCAGGATCAAGCTTGGAAGGAAAGGGATTGAAGCTTTGGTTCGATCTGACCTTGCAGGGTTATCTGAGTACGAAGAGAAGGCTTTGGAAGCTCTTAAGCCAGAGCTGAAGGCCAGCATTGAGAAGGGAATTGCATTTGTGCAGAACCAACCGATCACTGCTTAAAACTAAAGTTTTTGAAGCTCTAACCTCCTCAAAATAATGTTTAAGAGAGAGATAACTAAGTCTGGTGATTTTGTTCGATTTCTCCCTTCATCAGTACTCTCAGTTTTGTAGAATGGGAAGTTTTTTAGTTTCCTTTTCCAATGATGATCACAGAGCAGGAAATTTAAAGGGTATTTTGGTGCTGTAGATGAGAAGAATGTAATCATTTGTTAGAGTTTGTTACATTACTTTTATTACTGTATAATTGAGTGCTAAATTCAACTTTCTTTAATACTAATGATAAGATTTTTGTTGATAGCTTCAGATGATTGTTGGTTATCATTTCCTGATTACATAAAGAAAATAGTTGATTTCTCAGTAAATATTAACCATATTAGGCCGTTTTTAATGTATTTCGTGTATGTAATATCTTAACAATGATGTCAATAAAGGGACTGAAAACGACAAAATTTTGTAATTTGCATCAGTTCTTCACTTAGTCTGTCATCGAATTGAAGCATTATAATCCAGTAAAATACTTCCCACAAATATTCATATTTTATCTTTAGGATGGGCTAATTAAATTTTAGTACTTAATACCCAATACCAAGATTATAGATTTTTTAGTACTAGAGAAGAAACATGAGTTCAGGCGATAGTTTGGAGAAAAGAAAATGAATTCAATTTGATTGATTTTTTTAATTTTTTATTATTGAAGTAAAAAAGGTAACTCTAATCAAAAGGATAATTCTTTTTCATGTATCTAGAAGAAATTACTTTTTAAACAAATTTAAAGAAAGTAACTATAAATGTTACAAAATTTTGTGCAAATTAGTAAGGCATAAAATGTAAAAATTATGAAATAGAAGATTGCTGTCAATATATCTAATTGAGTTTAATTTTCTACCACTAGTTCAAAAGAAGTGAAGTAGTTGAACAAAACTGGATATTCCTACACTTCTAAGTGTTAACTCTTACTCCTTCTAATGATCAGATTGAGAAACATAAAAAACTTCATGTGATCAACATTCATAGTATCTTTATACATGTAACTGGCAAATTGTTCAAAAGAAAACAACATAAACCACAAATATTAATTGTTAGAGATGAAGTCACTTCTTAGACTTAGATCATGATGGTGGTTGATTAAAAGGAGTCGGACAAAAGAGAATTCATTTCTTCATCATCTTCTTCTTCATTTTCCATGTCATAAGCTCTACTTAAACCCGAACTTACTAGGCGGCTAACGCCAGAAGACGATTGTGACTCCATCATCATCATCATCATCTTTCTCTTCTTGTAATTTGCCTTGAAACAGGCTTGTCTAAGTCTTTTGGTTTTGCCTTCCAATTTCAAGTCAGGCATCTCTTCCAACAACTTCTTCTCCCTTTCCAAAACCTCCAACGCTTCCCTCAGTTTCCCTTCACTTTCCTCTCCTTCCTCCTTCTGCAACTCCTGCATTAGTCATACAACCAAAACCCAAGTTAATCCATTAGCCAAAAATAGAAAGAAATGGAGAACAAAAGAGGATCAACCCAAGGATGAAATGCACCTGAACGTTCTTGATAAGAGTTTGGAGACTCATAAGCTTGCGGTGAGGCTACCTACGGATTCCCAGTTCCCTACACTTTTTCTTCAATAGTGTTAACCCAACGTTAAGCTCTTTTGCCGCTTGAGTTATAGGCATGTAAAAGTATTGGGAGATAACTTTTCTAGACAGCATTTTGGTAGTGCTGTTGCATTTCTCTTCCCTGCACCTTTTACCCTTCCTCTCTTCCTTTAATTCTTCTCCAGTATTGTCTTCATTGTTACCTTGAGAAAACATTTGCTTGTTGGGTTCAAACAAGGCACCCAGCTCATTCCAAAATCCATTGCCATTTTCATAACCAAGTAGGATGTTCTCTGCAAAGATGCATACTAAAATTACAAAAATTTTCCTTATTTTTTCGGTGTATGAAATATATAAAATAAATCACCTTAAGTTAGAGTTGAACTTTGTTCTGTTAGAAATAATGACTCAAATCTCATAGGAGATTTATTTGGGATTTGTTAGAGATTTTTTGGGATTGGTCAGATATTGCTTGATGGACAATAAGATTTGCAAAAGAGGAATTCTAAAAGAAAAAGGACTCTTAATAAGCAAGTTTGACTTGCATGAGAAGAATTCTAAAAGGAAATGGATTCTTAATAGGCAAGTTTGTATGATTATAAATAGGTGAAGTCTCCACAGGGTTAGGCATGAGAAAAAGATGTAAAAGAGTTGTAAGGTTTTGTGGGATAGACACACCATAGAAGTATTGGGGCTTTACGTCTTATGGGTGTGTATGTTTGTTTGTAAGTGGACTAAAGGAGACTAAAAAGGTCCACATAGGTATGATATACGGGTACATATGGGTATAGTTTGGTTGTGTTGAAAGGGTGCACATAAGTATGTGTTTGTTTGAGTTAAGAATACTCCATAGGACTAAAGGAGATTGGGAGTGTCTTATGAGTATTGATTGTTAAATGTGATTGTTTGGATGTATATTTGTAATTCTTTACAACTAGTGGATCTTTTTTCTCATCCGTAGACATAGGTCAGTTGGACCGAACCACGTTAAATTGTTATCTCTTGTGTGTTTAATTAATTGTTTGATTTTGCTTCCGCTAGTGTGATTGGATTGAGGGCTTTTTAGCCCAACAAGTGGTATTAGACTATGGTGATTTTTTAACAAGTGGTATTAGAGCCAGGTTCAAGACGTGAGAAGAGCTGAAGGTTCGAGATGTGGAAAGAGCTGAAGGTTCGAGATGTGAGAAGAGCATGGTTTAAGATATGAGAAGAGGCAAGCTTAGAGGAGTTCGATTCAAGGAAAAAGTTCGAGTTCGTGTTTTAAAGATCGATTTACATGAAACGTAAATGCACATAAGAGAAAATGATTGTGAGATTTCCATTACAGGTGGTGCCAAGCATGTCTATCATAAAGACAGATGATTGATGAAATTTGAGTCAATGTGGAGATTGTTAGGAATAATGACTCAAATCCCATAAGAGATTTGTTTGGGATTTGTTTGGGATTTGTTGGAGATTTTTTAGGATTGGCTAGATATTGCTTGATGGATAATAAGACTTGCAAAAGAAGAATTCTAAGAGAAAAATAACTTTTAATAGGCAAGTTTGACTTACAGGAGAAGAATTCTAAAAGGAAATAGATTCTTAATAGGCAAGTTTGTATGGTTATAAATGGCGAAGTCTCTACAGGGTTAGGTATAAGAAAAAGATGTAAGAGAGTTGTAGGATTTTGTGAGATAGACACTTTATAGGAGTATTGGGGCTTTACGTCTTATGGGTGTGTATGTTTGTTTGTGAGTGGACTAGAAGAGATTGAGAGGGTCCACATAGGTATGATGTATGTATACATATGAGTATAGTTTGGTTGTGTTGAAAGGGTGCACATGGATATGTATTTGTTTAGGTTGACAATACTCTATAGGACTAGAGGAGATTGAGAGTATCTTATGAATATTGATTGTTAAGTGTGATTGTTTGAATGTATGTTTGTAATTTTCTATAACTGATGGATCTTTTTTTTTTTTCATTCGTGGACGTAAATCAGTTAGACTGAACTACATTAAATTGTTGTCTCTTGTGTGTTTAATTAATTATTTGATTTTGCTTTCACTGGTATGATTGAATTGAGGGCTTTTTAGCCTAACAAATAATATCAGAGCTGTGATGATTTCCTAACATGTTCAATGCATAATGAAGCATATAAAGGATCCAAATAGAAACCGCTCATCAAAGGAACATCATCATAAAAGCTCTTTAAGACTATGGGAAACTCATGGTTTTGCCAATGCACACTTGCACTGAAAAGTTTTAAGTGGAAGATTCATAAGAAGAAAGGAAACCATGAAAGTTAAGTAGAGAAACTGATGTAATGCCACCTTGAATCTAAAGGAAGCTAAAGTGGAAAAGAAGAGTTTTCTTCTTCTTCTTCTTCTTCTTTTGCCACATGAAGTTCATACTTAAACCAACCCTTGAGCGAGTAGTGACTTCCCATTTCCTTTTTGAGACTGTAAGAGGAAATTAAGTAGGCTGAATATGTTGTGATTGGGAAGTTATGGGGGGAAGGGGCTTGGAAATGTGAAAAGGCGGTAATGGTTGTATATATAGTGAAGAAGTGAAGTGATTAAATCAAGATCTTAATGTAGTAATTATTTAGTGGATATTTATCTGTGGAAGGTGGTGCGGCGCCATGCATGCATGGCATTGCTCATTTAATACTTGCTCTATGTGCTTGTGAGATTCACAAAGTTAGTTACCGAGGGATAGAAAGAGAAAATATTGGTTGATATATGAGATTAAAAGTAGAATGTAACATAAATAGTGTTTCTCATAGTGTGTACGAGTGATTTAAATCACGAAAAAGAGTTTTTTATATATGAATCTTCCCAAAAAAAAAAGGGGTTTAAATGAGTGGGAAAAAAAAAAAGAAAAGAAATTTGACTAATAACTAGTCTTTAAAGGCTCATAATAAGCTTAGGCTAATAACAACTGCCTTTAGAGTTAATTTTTTGTAACTATAAATTACTGATTGTGATCAAATGAAAATGATGTGTTTCAATGTAACTCCCTATAATAATGAAAACTTAAAAGGTGGAATGGTGTATTATATATATATATATATATATATGATGTATTATTTATATATTTTTTTTATAAATTGTTAGTAAATTATGTTATATCATTTCATGATAAATTTTTTAAAAAAAATTAAATTTTTTATATTTATTTTAAATGTTTATATATGTTTACTCGAAGTGTTATATTAAATTTATATAAATAATACATCAAATATAAATTTATTATAATATTACAATTAATCAATAATTATTATTATTTTTATAAAATTTAACATTTAAAATTATAGATTTTATATATTTTTTTATAAATTTTAAATAATACTAAATTTTAATTAATTAATTACGATACATTGACATTAAAGCAATGAAAACTAGCAGAATGAAGGACCTCATTTTATTCTCAAACAAAACCAAGGTTTCAGTTTTCTTAGTAATCTCTTCCATCTTGACATGACATGCCAATTTATCAACTTATCATCATAATTATGAGTTGTGGTTACTATGTTTTTAATTGAAAACTGTGATAATTTATTGAGATATATGAACATAATTTTAAGAAATTTTTTTAAAAATAAAAAAGTATAATATTTAAATCGTTATAAGTGAATCCCTTCTCATTATTTAATGTAATTTTTTAGGTTACCAAATTGTCATTTGCTGAATAGGAGGAAAATTTTCTAAAAAAAAGTGAAATTATATATATGCAATATTGATTTGCCTTTTTTAAAATTAAATTTAATATTTAATCCAATTAATTCATAAAATTATTTTTAAAAATAATATTAAAGTTTAAATTTAAATTTTTATACTTGTACTTTTCTCTTATTTTTAATATATGGCTTTTTTATATAAAAATAATATGTATATCGAGGATTTTTCATTGTAATTGATCATGAACACATAATCTCGATTATTGTTATATCCAATAGTCTAATCAAACACTCATAGTTATTAGATGCTAAATATTAGATAATCCCAAAAAGAATTTGAAAAGCATTTTAAGTGTAGTATATACATACATATATATATATGACGAATCAAATTATATAAAAAATTTTAATTTTTTTAATTATTGATTTCAATGTATTTAAGGGAAGAGATTTTTTTTTTCACTTTTCTATTTCATTCTTTGAATTTATTAAAACTAATGGTTAAAAAATATAAGATTTTTTAATTTTATATTGATGTAAGTTGATCTCTCTTTACTTGGAACTCCATTATCATGAGCTTTCTCTTTTTATAATAATTTACCTTGAAACAAGCTTTCACTACAAGAAAATTACGTATTAGTGATAATTTTGTAGCGATCATTCACTTACAAACGTCGCTAGCTTCCATGTTTTTATAAAACTTAAGGCATTTATTATCAAAACGTCACTAAATATTCAAATAACTGCATTGTTAATTATAAATGCTACCCAAGACTTGATATAAGTGACGTTTCTCGATTAAAATGCCTTGAATAATCTGGCCTTAAAAATTTCAGTGAATACTAAAGATGTTTTTTTGACAGACAACACCTTCAATAATCATCTAATAAAAAATTGTATGAGATTATTAAAGGCGTTTTCTATAAGAAACACCTTTAATAATTGGACCAAAAAATTCCACTGGTTATTGAAGTTGTTTTTGTTTAAAAACACCTTCAATAAATATCATATCAAAATGTTTGGATCGTACGAATGTTAACCATAAGGTTGTAGGTTCGATCCCTCCCTTAAGCTTTTTTTGGGTTTTTGCAGAGATTATTTGTAATTGATTATTGTATGTGTTTTCTTGGCAAAAACACATTCACCAATTGCTTTAAAAAATTTTGCAGAGAATATTGAGGGCGTTTTTCACAGAAAAACGCTTTTAATAATCCATAGAAAAAATATGGAGCTGATTCTTGAAAGTGTTTTTGGTCGAACTCCCTTTTTATACTCTAATCAATTAATTTTTGTTGTGATTATTAAAGGCAGTTTTTGTAAAAAATGCCATCAATAATCCATACATAAAAGTTTGAACGGATGATTGAAGGCGTTTTTAGCTCAAAACACCTTTAATATTTTAGATGATAACTTTTAATGGTCAAATTATTGAAGACGGTTATATCCATAACTGCCTTCAATAAAATTTTGTTAGAAATTATTCAAGGTGTTACCCATAGGAAAACGCCCTTCATAATCCATTTGATTAATTTTTAATTGGTATTATTGAATGTATTTTTTTTAAAACACCTTCAATAATTTATACAAAAAAGACTCGACGGATTCTTGAAGGTATTTTTTATCCAAAATGCCTTTAATATCCCACACAATAAATTTTTGGTGGGATTATTGAGTAATTTTTAGCAAAACGCATTAATATTTCAAACAATATAATTTTAATGTATTATAATGAAGGTAGTTTATATCAGAAATCCTTCAATCATTTTTATGGATTATTCAAGCGTTAACCATAGGATAACTGTTTCATAATCCATATCTTATTTTTAGTTGTATTAAAAGGTTTTTTTTTAAATGCCTTCATAATTATACAAAAGACCGACAGATCTTAAGGTGTTTGTCCAAAAGCCTTAATATTTTACACAATAAATTTTTGGTGGGATTATTGAAGGCGGTTTTGGTAAAAAAATACCATTAATATTCCAGATGATAAATTTTGATGATCAGATTATTGAAGGTGGTTATATCCAGAAATGCCTTTAATATTAGGGATTATTCAAGGCGTTACCCGTAGGAAAACGCCTTTCATAATCCATTCGATTAATTTTTAGTTGGTATTATTGAAGGCATTTTTTTAAAATGCCTTCAATAATCCATACAAAAAATGTACAACGGATTCTTGAAGGCATTTTTTTTTCTCAAAACGCCTTTAATATTTCACATAATTAATTTTTTGGGTGATTATTGAAAGAGTTTTGATTAAAAACGCTTTTAAAATTTTCTGTTATGGATGATTTCAAGGTATTTTCTTGCTAAAAACACTTTCAATAATCCCATCAAAAAAACATATTTGATATTGTATATGTCAAGTCGTTGTAGGTTTATACCTAGAAAATATTTTTTGTTAATTGTATATTAATGCCCAAAAAACATTTAGTTTTTATATGTGATACTATGAATTACATTTTGAAATTTACGTAATGAACATTGTTGTATTTCAATAAATTGATCACGCATCCAAAATTTAAATTGATAACATTGCCATATTAATATACTTTTCTGAAATAATCGTACTCAATAATTTATTAAGTACACATAGTGTATTCATATTAAGTATAACAATAATATTAAACCAATACCCCAATGTACAAACTTAAAGTTTCCATTCAACATGGCATGGTCAAAACATTATAACACTTTGTTCCTTAAGTATTTACATTCAACCAACAATGTCTAACCTGAAGGTTTATCAATATTGATAAATGATAATACATAATCACACCATTTTTTATGAACTTCATCAAGTTCTTCTTCCGTGAAGCTTTCTTTACTCTCCCACTAAAAAAAATTATCATAAGTAATGCTAAGAAATAAGAACATAATGTACCTTTTTATTTTTTTGAAGATATAACGAGTTTATGAAATTTATACTAACCTTGAATGGTGTGGTCCTAAAATCATGTAACACTATCTCCTGCATAAAACGAAGAACATAATATTCACATTCAATATTACCAGGTTGATGAGGTATCTGAAAATTAAATTGAGTGGGTTTAAAAAATATTTATCTACACAAACTTGGCACAAAAGAATATATTTCACATTTACCGTAATGACACCCATTTCGGTTTCTTTATCTTCTTATCGAATGCAGATATTACCCTAAATTAAAAGAAAAAAAAATTACTTAATACATAAATAAAATTACTTATGAAGAAACATAAGATATATAATATAATAAAATGTAATACATTTTTATAAAAGTTTGAATATTGGTATTAGGTATTGCCATTAAATTAACTGAATTAAGTAAGTATGGTGTTAAGGATTTGGTGTCAATTACAATAAGCACTTATTGACGACTGTAAAATAATAACAATGATATATTCAGATTACGCATCAGATCAGATTTGGGTAAGGTTGGAGTAATTAATGTTGAAATATAGCTTATTGCGCATTATATGGGAGCAAATAATAATCAGCTGGTGTTTTCATACATAAGATCACATGATTAGCACAATAAGCAACTGTCCCACTCTGCTCACTAATGAAGTTGGGGTCAATGAATCTAAATATGTTGGTCAACTCTCTCTTCTTGAGCTCTCTATATAGGAAGCTACATGATAACAATCAACACTACTAGTTAGTATTAGAATCTAATATAGATTACTACATATTGAATGTGCATATTTGTATTTATAAGCTAACCTCATATAAGCAACGATCTCAACAGCTGATAATTCATCCAGTTCATAAAATTCTTTAACCTT